AGTGCTTTACAATATTATAAATAGGGGGACATTGAAACAATAAATGAGACAATTACAAAATGTTACAGGGATAGGTTGATGAGGACCATGCTCAAATGATCTCACAGTCTATAGCACGGGTGCCCAAAAGGTAGATCCCTAGATGTTTGAAAACTACAGCTTCCATCATGCTTTGTCATTCTATAGGCATGAAAAGCATCATGGGAGTTGTAGTGCTACAGCATCTGCGGATCTACATTTTAGGCAACTCTAGAGTTAAAATGTTGTAATCATTTGAAAAGTGTATCCAAAATAATTAAATGTAAGCCTTACCTGGGTCACTCAGGTGCCTGCGTTCCATCTGTTCTTTTGGATAATTATAAAGTGGGCGTTCTAAATTTGCTTTAGCAAAATCAGTTGTAGTATCTCTATTTTGACATCATTCATTGTGTCAACTGACACAATATCAGCTTTGTCCAAAAGACACTTTCAGTGACAGAAATATGCAGAATTAGCCCAGCTCCTACAAAGTTGCAGATCTTAGCAAGTCATCAGACACAAGTCTACAAAGTACAATTTAATAGATTACAAGATGCAATAGGAAGATATTGCTTTTTTTTTTTTAATTAACACCATTATGTAGTGTGTGTTGCTAAGTAACAGCAAACAATAATACACCCCATTCATTTTTTAATGTAAGTATATGCATAAAATAGTCCAATACAAATGCCAACACTATTACTAAAATAGTGCTAATAAGAACAGTGTAAATAAAATGTGTCAAACTATAGTGCTAGGGTGCAGAGTATAAAAATGTACAGAATCTATGCATGTATGACCGTTGTGGCAAAAAAGTGATGAGATATTTAAAGGGACAGTCTATTCAATAAAATCATTTTATCTTAATGAAGTGATAGCCAGCCATTATTCACACTAAAATCGATTTTTTTAATTGAATCTATTTTACTTTGACCAGTGCCAATATGCAAATATCCTGATGTCAGATCCTGAGTGTGCATCCAATGTTTGACTACCTTAAGTTTCTTGAGCAAAGAGATCGGTCAGGCGTGCACCTAATTGTTTGCATTTTCTTGTGTCAAGAAAATCAGTCTTTTCAAAATATTTCATTCTGCATCTCAGCCCAGACACACAAGGATGAATACATTTTGTAACGTCCAAAGCGATCTCCAAACTGTTACATTTCACAAATTGGTGGGTGCTCACTATATACTTTAATTGCTTTATGAATTACTCTCCACTGAGTAGTGTGCAAATGTGGACAAAATTGCATAATTCTTTTAACAAAATCGGCACTTCTGCTTTAGCAATATCCAGAAGAGCAGAGGAACTTCTGGCTCTCAGGAGATGATAGTGGAGAGGGAAGCAGCACCCAGGGGAGCTCCAGGTAAAAAAATGTCTGAAGTCCTTACGATGGGGGTGGGTCACCGGGGCACTCTGGGCACCATAAGCTCTACAGCAAGTTGTAGTAGTTATGGTACCTGAAGTGCTCCTTCAAAGTACGGCTGCTCTGACTTACGACCAGCTCACTAGTGTGTGAATTTTAGGGATTCCCCATGTTAGAGAGCTAGTCTATGTTAGGGGAATTTTTCCCGAACATAGATTTCAAAGATTCCCTGCGCTAGTGAGCTTATCTATCCTGAACATAGATTAGCGGGATTCCCTGCGCCAGTGAGCTGATTGTAATGGTAAATTAAGTAATTTCTTTATATTTATGAAGTTCTGAATTGCATAAATATAAAATAATACCACAAATAAAATAATAAAAGGTATACTGGTCAATCACATAAATATTAGTGAATATCTTGAATGAACAGACAAGAGGCAAAGTTTTGATGAAAGTATAAACAAAACTTTACTGGGAATACAATTATCAAGCACACAAAAAAGAAACAAATACTTTAAAAACATACACTGCTATAAACAATACATTCAGGTAAGAAATCTACTTAGCTCTATTCATGGAGATTCAGCATCTTACACAGGATAATTGAATCAGCATAACACACAGAACAATGAGGTGAGTTCCTTGCCACATGTTAAATGGATTTACATGGGCACCTCTAAAGACACCTGGCTTCTTCCGACCCAGTCATGAAACTGAAACTCTAGTTTCTGGAAACCCCTTGAATAACCTCCCATCTAGTATCCACCCACAGAGGTAACATAACCAATACCTAATGGTCATCTCTAGGAGGCGGATACTACATGTGGTCCTTTGTGAAAGGAAGTGACTTAAGAATTCTCAATACCTTCCTAAAGCACATGTCTCATTGACTATGTGGCAGCCATCTTTATTCACTCGACGTCACAGTGCTCACTAGGCCACCTATAGGTCACTTCCTCCCTAAAGCACATGTCTCATTAAATATGCAGCAGCCATCTTCTTGCTCTTAATGTCACATAGCTCACTACACCCCCTATAGGTATCATAAGTTATTGCACATGAATGGGAACACAATAATAGAACATTTATCATTGCCCATAACCAATACACTGATCTATGTTCAAGTGAATTCCCACAAACGTAGACTTGCTCTCTAGCGCGTGCTCTTTAGTGCATCCTCACTTACCGACCAATTCGTCTTACTACCGGATTGTAAGAACGAAACCCAGTCGGTAAGCGGGGACTGTCTGTAATTGGAAAGTACATTTATTTTAAGTTTCAGAAAATGCTGCCTATATTTTATATACCCAACTTTAATCGTAACGTACAAAAAACAAAATTTCTTCCCTAAATCTGGGTGCCAGCCTTAAAATGCACAAAAACGGGGGCTACTATTTGGGCCATTCCCTATATAGATTATTCTGTTTTTGGATAGATGTACCCAAAATGGTAAATATTGCTTCCACGCTAATGTCCCAGAGCTGGAAAGGCTAATAATGAATTTATGACTTGTATGATAAATTGAAACAGGTGAATGAAAATTACAAACAAAAGAAATGTGATTAAAATGTCAGATATTGTATTCTTAACATCGTATACAGATAGAAGAAAACATTCTACTTGTATGTCTCAGTGCTCCTTCAAAATAATACGCTTTTTTCTCCATTCTATGACCTTGATTTATTATTTCTGGATAAGCTTTTCAAATGATAATAATCTGTGAAAAAAAAACTATATTTACAGCGTTTGCGATCTTAGCCTAAATTGTGCAATTGGAATACATGTTTTTGGCTTGGTTGACAGCACTCTGGATGAATCAGCTACATGTTACGGATTCACTAGCATAAATAAGGAAAGAGGAATAGTTTTGCGCAAGTCTGCTTATTGGATATTATGGTTAAAGTGACAGCCTCTGATACATGGCTGTGCTCTATCTGATCCCAGTGTGCTCAGTGTTGTGCGGTGACACTGATCCCGAACAGCTGTTGGCTAAATCCTCGCCACTTCTCAGAAAGTGGAGGTGTAACACGAGAACACCCAGAGAGGAACAGGCACAATATCTCCCAGCATCTTATGCAGAAGGAAGACGAGATTCACTTAAACAAACAAGAAAGAGAAACAGACTGCTTCCCCTATTTTCATTTAAAAAAAAAAAAAACATATTTATCTTTCCAAATTCTTTTGAATTATTTTGGTGAATGACACATTAAGTACAGTTACAAAGTGCTGCAAAGTGAAAAAAGAACACACCTTTATCCTGCAACTGGATGCACTCCATTTTAGCTCCCTGACAATCATTATTATAAGCTCTGCTCTTTGCACCTGACAGTCCCCATCGAGAAACCACATAAAGAATATGTGAATTATGTTTGCCCTGACTTTGCCTTGTCTGAACTGGATTATGGTGTCATTTGCTAAATGTCTGTAAATGTAAGGAGAACAGAGGATCTTATGATGAAAAATTTAAAGGAGCACTATAGGGTCAGGAACACAAACATGTATTCCTGACCCTATAAGGTTAGAACCACCATCTAGCCCCCCATGCCCCCTCTTGCCTCCCTAAATATAGTAAAATCTTACTTGTATTCAAGCCTGAAGCTGTAGGCTTTGTCCCTGTTTCCTTTTGACCTGCTCAGTGCCTGCTGACATCATCAGAAGTGGTAGCCTGATCCAATCACAATGCTTCCCCATAGTATTGGCTGAGACTGACAAGGAGGCAGATCAGGGGCAGAGCCAGCACAATTCAAACACAGCCCTGGCCAATCAGCATCTCCTCATAGAGGTGAATTAAATCAATTAATCTCTATGAGGAAAGTTCAGTGTCTTTATGCAGAGGGAGGAGGCACTGAATGTTTGGATGCATTTTAGGCAACCATGACCCAGGAAGGATCTCTAACAGCCATCTAAGGAGTGGCCAGTGAAGTTATCACTAGGCTGTAGTGTAAGCACTGCATTTTCTCTGAAAATACAGTGTTTACAGCAAAAAGACTGAAGGTAATGATTCTACTCACCAGAACAAACTCAATAGGCTGTAGTTGTTCTGGTGACTATAGTGTCCCTTTAATAAGACAGAGTGCATTTGGGAATTCCAATGAAAAGACCAACTCCTATAGGCATCTCATTAGCAGTGGGCATAGAAGTGATAGAGACTTCACATGTGTACATTCAGACATAACCTTTATTAGCAAATTAAATATATGCTTACAATGGCTAAAATGCAGATAGTGTCCAATTCCGCTGTAGCAGTCCGTCACAATCTGGCTTTGGGGGTTAGGTGTGCACTCCAAGCTCCCTCCTGCGTCCTCTGTGTAAAACGGAAATTCCACCCTTGGTGATTGCTTGGCAACCAGACACGTTTCGCCTTTCTACTGAGACCTACTCAGTGGCGTTAGGAAATTATTTGACTGCATACAAGGTGTTTGGGCAATCCAGGCACCATAACCGCTACAGTAATTATGGTGCTTTGAGTATTCCTCTAAGGTCTGCATTTCGAAGGTCAGAATATTAGCACAACTCAGTATTTATTGTACATTGTGCTGCCTGGATCCAAGTATGAAATGCTGCCCCCCCCCACCCCCCCAAAAAAAAAAAACAACAACAGCAACAACAACAACATATATGCTTCTGCAAAGGTAGAGTCTCTATGTAGGTGTGCTGGGGATGAAGTGTGTGTCTGTGTGTGTGCTGGGGATGTAGTGTGTCTGTGTGTGTGCAGGGGATGTGGTATGTGTCTGTGTGTATGCTGGGGATATAGTATGTGTCTGTGTGCGTTCTGGGGATGTAGTATATGTCTGTGTGTGCTGGGGATATAGCATGTGCCTGTGTGTATGCTGGGGATGTAGCTTGTGTCTGTGTGTGCACTGTAGCCAATACACTTACCTATATACTGTGTCTGTGTATATGCATGTCTGTCAGTGTTTGTATCTGGGTGTCTGTATCTGTATGTGTGTCAGTGATTCTATCTGTTTGTTTATGTATCTGCATGTGTGGACGTTTTACACAGAGGACGCAGGAGGGAGCTTGGAGTGCACACCTAACCCCCAAAGCCAGATCGTGACGGACTGCTACAGCGGAATTGGACACTATCTGAATTTTAGCCATTGCATGTGTATCAGTGCATGTGTATCAGTGTGTCTGTGCAACTGTGTGTTACTATATGTATATGACACACATGCAGATGTACAGACACACCGATACGCCTGCAGATACACGGACATACAAACACTGAAACATACAGATACACACATTGCCACACATGTAGATACACAGACATACAGATGCACACACTACACATACACATATATACAGCGCTATGGAATCTGATGGCACTATAGAAATAATAAAATAATAATATATACACTACACACACAAACACACACACAATACACACACTACACATACACACACACACACACACACTACAAACATACAAACAAACACACATATACCCACACTACATACAGATACACACACTACCCAGATACACATACAGATACACACACACACTTCACACAGATACACATACACAGATACACACACATTACACTCATACAAACAGATACACTCACTACACATACACAGATACACACATACAAACACACACACAGATGCACACACTACACACATATACCCACACTACATACAGATATACACACTACACATACACACATACAAACACACAGATACAGACACACACAAACACACAGATACAAAAATTACACACATTAAAAAAAATTAAGCCACCCAGCAGGTTCTTACCTTCTGCTCGCTGTGGCTGGTGGGAGTTGGGGGGCTGCTCTTCTGATCCGGCCACATCCTCGTTGCTCCCTCCTCCTCCTCCCGCACGGCTGGCTCTATTTGAGCTGGGAGGAAGTGACAGTGATATGCTGTCACTTCCTCCCAGCTACCATGCGGATAGGAAGGGGCTTTTAAAGCGCCGCAGTGCACGACCGGGCCCCTCATTCCAACGGGTGGCCCTAAGGACATGGCCCTCACACAGGTTCCCAACCTCTGCGGTGCTACTGCAGTGACTCCAGTGCGGTCTATGGACAGGCCAGCCCTGGATACCATAATACATTATCCATCCTATGTGCTGGTAAGATGAAACTTGCTCTCAACTAACAAAAAATGTATGGTGTCCAATGCCTTGCTCGTATATTTTGTACTTAGCACATCTATGCATTGCAACCTTGGAAGTTGATTGAAATCAGGGGAAAAGATTCTGACATTAAAAGGCGCATTCAGGCTATATTCAAATTTAACTAATGTACGGTTACCAGACTCCATCAGAAATACAGTTTCTCCTATAAATTATAAAATCTTGCAAAAACTAGGTTTTTTTTAATCAGCTTTGCTCATTAGCACACATAGTCATTTATATAACGTAGCACAAGAGTAAAACTATGCTGTGCTACGTATTTAACCCCTTAAGGACCAAACTTCTGGAATAAAAGGGAATCATGACATGTCACACGTCATGTGTCCTTAAGGGGTTAAATGAAATATTTCTATGATTGCATTGTACAATTATACTTACATTTACAAATTAGTTGATAATGTTTTTATTTTCTGTTTGGCACGTGTGTATTAGATTGATTTGAATACTTTATTTGTGTAGTTTGTATATGAGTGTACAAATCTACACATCTTATTTCTTTGTACTGCAAAATTCATTTTGACATTTAGGTGAAGAAATCCGAAGTTGAAAGAATGTTTCCTACATAAAGGTAAGTTTTAGTGTTAGGAATAAAAAAAATGTTTTCCTAACACTAACGTGTTCCTCAGCCCCGTGACCATATCCCAGCATTGTAAAAAGTAAAGAAAAAAAACTTTATTCACTTATCTGATTCCAGTGTCAAGTTCCTTCGGCGCTGGGTCGCAGTCTGCCTCTACCAACATCATCTGATTGGGAGGACCTAATGCGCATATGCAGCGAGTGCTAAACGCATTACACCATTCTCATAGGAAAACATTGCCTCAAACTCTGTGAATCCCCCAGAAGCACCTTTGGTGGCTGCCTGGTAGAAACCACTAGAGGCAGCCTTAGTATGGCAATGTAAACATAGCAGTTACTCTAAAACTGGAATGTTTTACATTGCAGGACTAAGGGTAACAGGGACACTGCACCCAGACCACTTCAATTAGATTAAGTGGTCTGGGTGCCTATAGCGTCCCTTTAACTATTTTCTTTTCTTTAAAATTTCAAGCACATTAACTACTACAGCCTGCTTTGTAAATAGTTACATATAGTTACATAGTTACATAGCTGAAAAGAGACTTGCGTCCATCAAGTTCAGCCTTCCTCACATATGTTTTTGCTGTTGATCCAAAAGAATGGTTTGACAACTTATCTGGGGAGTTGGGTACAACTCCATTGAGCTAAGCCATGCCGTCCAGGGCTGGCTCAGTGACTGAGAATATCAGCTGAGCACTCTCTGGAGATTTAGCTCAATGTAGAGAAATTCCAACATCACAAGATAAGGTGATAAACAACTGGGAAACCCCAAAACCCCAGGCAACTTGTCAAACCATTCGCAAACAGTTTGACTTCTTACTTGGGATCGCGTCTGGTTAGTCCTTGCACCATATCTATCCACGGAAAGTAAAAGATAATAAAATAATATAGAGAGTTTTGATTATAGACGAGTGGGGGGGATGGAAAAGAATTCAGAGGCAATGCATGGTATGAAGGATTTTCAAACAAGAGCCTCATGCTTATACTGTAGGATAAAAGGGACACGCTACTGCCCAAATAAAAAAATTATACAGATCTTTGTTTAGTAGATATACTCCAAATGAAAAACATGAATGTATTTATTAAACTGAAGTCTTTGAAAACCCTCCCCATCTAACCCCGCCCAAACTTTCTGTGGCTGTCCAATCATAGACTTCCCAATGCAGCTCAATGAGAAGTATTTCCAAGGAATGAGCTCTGGGCTAATGCCTCTTATGTTTAGTTCCATTGAGCCATGAGGAAGTAGCAGATTCTGTTGGGCAGCCAGGGAGTTTAACAAGGTAAATGTATTAATTTCTATAAAAATTTGCACTTCCTGTAAATTAAAAAAAGAGGATAGGCACACTCTTCACAGATAAAGCATTTCCGAAAGCTAAAGAGCTTTAGGGATCCAGAGTGTTTCTTTAATTCTAAAGTAGATTTAATATTTTGTTGGTCTGAATGTTCAAGATTATAGTAAATAGTAAATAGAGTTTACAACATTTAAAAAATCTTTATTTCTATTTTGTTTCTAACTCCGTTCAAACGGCAAATGCAAGATTCCCATTAAAGAATAACAGGGAATGGGTAGTGGACTGAATCCAAATGTGGAGGAATACTTAGCGGGTTGCTGTTGCTATGACTATAAGTATTTTATTTTTTATTATTAGTTGAATAAAAGGATGATGGCAAGATGCTAGAAAATTTATATTTAGTTGTGGAGTTGGCAGAATGGAGGGGGTTACATAAGAGTTCCAGAAATGGTCCAGAAGATCCTCCAGATATCCTCCCGTTGCATAATAGGGAGAGAAATTCCAAACCAAAGAAATGTGTGAGAAAGGGAGGTTCTCCCAAAAACATTATTTTAGTCCAATAAAAAATGTATTACAGGATACAAATTTTATCTGTTTTTTACATTTAAAAAAATATATATTTTAAAGACCCGTTAAAGATTCGTTTTGAATTGTATATCTGTATTTATGCATAGTCATAAAGTTATAATTTAGCTGCGTTACTTTTTTCTTTTTTCAACTAAGTACTGAACAGCTTATTGTTAGAACAACAACTTAACACAAATTGCTGACCTGCTGGAAGCCAATGTTCCATAGAAGATGAGAGCATGATTACTTTTTCCTATCATAGAGAAAAGTCAGCTACTTGAAGAAGGCTCGGACATCCTATAGAGACCATTTACTGATCGGTTATTAAAACATTTATATGACTCATGGTAGTTGTGATGTTCCTTTATTACAAGGCAGGGTGATTGCAGTAAGAACAGTTCTCGTTCGGGCTCTGGAAGTTACAGGCACTCAGGGCCGGACTGGGAGAAAAATTCGCCCGGCATTTTTTTAACACAGCGCCCACTAAGAAGGGGCGGGGCAGAGGAGGTGTGTTTTGTCATCACCAATGACAAACACGCCCCCTCTCAAAGTGAGCATGTTGGTTCAATGCTCTTCCAGGGCAGACCATGCGCAGAGCTCTGCTGAAGAGCTCTAGCATGATAAAAAAAGCCCTGTATTTGTTCTGCACAGTGAAAGCAAATTTAATAACATGCTTGCACTGTGTTTCCTTGCAAATTGTCTCTGGTGTCTCTATAAAGATACCAGGAAACAAAAATGCCAGGAAAGAGTATTGTGCATGTGTTTGGAGCCTGCTTGTGGTATTGCGTGAGCTGATTGTGGTGCGGTATTGTGTAATAAGGTTGGTTTTAGTCATGTTGTGTTTGTGGTGTAATGTGATGCATATGTGGCTAGGGGCTGTAGAGAATGTGTGTATTGGGGATATAGCAAGTGTGTGCATACAGGCTATAGTGTGTGTGTGTGTGTATATAGGTGATGTAGTGTATGTTTAGGGGTGTAGTATGTGTTTGCTTACAAGGAATCTAGTGTGTGTATAGGGGATCCAGAGTGTGTATGTTAAGAGTGTAGTGTGTGTGTGTATATATATATATATAAATATATATTTGGAAGTATTGTGTATGTGTGTGGTGCAGTGTGTTGAGGGGGTTCTGTGTGTATGTGAGGGGTGCAGTATGTGTGTCTGAGGGGTGCGGTGTGTGATGTGTGTGAGAGTGCGGTGTGTGAGAGTGCTCTGTGTGATGTGTGTGTGTCTGATGAGTGTGAGAGTGCTGTGTATGATGTGTGTGAGAGTGCC